GCTGAGGACAGCCATGGGCAACTGGTCCCCTGTGGAGATAAGAGTGGGCCCTGCCATGGGTGCCCAGGGTTCGACACAGCACTAGTGGGTCTGAGTGTGTAGGGGTGGGCTGTGTCTGGTACCCCCTCTGCCCCACCATGCATCTTCCTGGCTTCCCCTCGGGTTCTGGGTACAGAGAGGCTCCAACACACTCTTGTCCCCAGCATCTGTGCCTTCTGCCCCATGGCTCCCTGACACCGAGAGTGGGAGGCCACAGGAGCCAACAGGGCATATGTGGGTAGCCTAGTGACATGGAAGGGTCTCTACACCCTGGTCAACCCTCAGAGTGGCTGGAGCTAAAGGTAAATATTTCCTCCTGGGAGTTGTCTATCTGACAGTTCTGGGCAGCTTTCTGTACACCCTTCCGAAGGTTCTGGTGGGACCCAGACCCAGTTTCCCGTAGCAGTGACCAGCTCCATTTCGTGTGTGCACCACCTTGCCCCATTCTTCCCAGTCCCTTGTTTCTGCTTCCCGGATCACCACCACCTGGATCCGTGTCTCAGGCGCTCAAGTGAAGATGCCTTCCCCCAAATGTAGTTTTCTAGGCCCGGCTGCAAGGACTCACTCCTGCGGACATCTCTAGGAGCTCAGTGAATATTTTGGGGTCTCCAGGTTCTGGACTCAGGGACGTGACAAAGAATGCTGGCGTGTGGTGGACTTTGCTCCTGATACGAGGGGAAAGCATGGAGCTGCAGCCATTACGCATATTATTCACTGCAGGTTTTCTTGTAGATGAGGAAGCTTCCTCTAATCCTAGTTACTTGAGAGCCTGTTACATGTGGTGGGTTTCACTGATAGACTTTCCAAGGCGAAGCTAGTCTTACGCTGTGAGAACAAACTCCCCCTTGCTGTGGCGTACAGTTCTCTGACACTCCAGAGAATCTGTCTGCTGTCTTTTGTTGGGGATGTACGTCTATGTTCATGAGGGATCTTGGGTGGTAGGTTCTGTTTTTTGTGCTGTCCTGGGTTTTGCTGTCCTGGTAATGCTGGCTCACAGAAGTAATTTGGAAATGTTCCCTTCTACTCCATCTGGGGAAGATTGTGTAGAGTTGGTGTTAATTCTTCTTTAAACATTTGATAAAATTCTCTACATCTGGAGATTTAAAATTCCAGATTTTTTTTCTGGAGTTTTAAAACAACATATTCAATTTCTTCAATAATTATAGAGCTGTCAGGCATGGTGGCTCACCCCTGTAATCCTAGCACTTTGGGAGGCTGAGACAAATGGATTGCTTTGCTAGGCCTAGTGGGCCTAGGCTAAGGCAGAAAGGTGTCAGGCCGAGGCTATAATGAAAAAATACCAGTTAACTTGGGTGGCGCCTGTGGCTCAAGGAGTAGGGTGCTGGCTCCATATACCGGGGGTTGTGGGTTCAAACGCTGCCTGGCGAAAAACTGCAAAGAAAATACCAGTTAAGTCCTAGAAAATTTCTGGACTGCAAGCTTTCCAAAAAAAAAAGAAAAAGAAAAAAGAAATAAGTCTAGTTTACTCCCAAGATAGATGGTAAAGTACTAATTAATTTCTTGCTTCTAGTTCACTCCAAGTTTCTTGCTTGGCTAACTCCCTGGGAAATGGACCAGGAGGTACCAACTGTTCCCGGACTAACTTTTAAAAAATACCAGGTGGGGAAAGTACTGAAACTAAGTGTATAGGGAAAAATATTAAAACAAAAATGTATGGCTAAATAAGTGCAAAATTCTGCTTCTGTACGATGCTTGCTTGCTACCCTACCAGATGCACATGGACAGCCTGCGTGCCAACCAGGATGCAGACCAAGCCTTAAAAACCCAACCCTTTAAGCACTTGGGGCTGTTCTCAGAAACCCCATGTTGGGACACTGAGGCAGTCACCAGCTGGCTCTTCAATAAAAGGACTCCTCTTTAAATGTAACTTGTTTTGCAGTGTGGTCTTTGTGAAACTCCTGGGCATAACAGCTTGAGCTTAGGAGTTCAAGACCAGCCTGAGCAAGAGTGAGACCCTGTATCTACTAAAAAGAGAAAAAACTACCCAGGCATGGTGGGTGTCTGTAATTCCAGCTACTCGGAAGGCAAGAGGATCACTTGAGCTTAAGAGTTTGAGGCTGCTGTGAGTTATGACACCATGACACTCTACACAGGGTGACAGAATGAGACTCAAAAGTTTGATTGGTTTCTTCAGAAACAAATGTCATTTTAAATTTAAAAAGGAAAAATAATTCTAGAGCTATCTAAATTATCGATTTTGTCTTCAGTAATTATTGGCAGTTAATGCTTTTGAAGGATTGGTCTATTTCATAAACTGTGCTGAATTTATGTGTATAGAGTTGTTTATAACACCCCCTCACCATCCTTTTAACATCTGTGGGTCTGTTGTGATGCCCCTGAACTTGGTAGGCTGCAGTCTTTTTTCTTTGTCAGTAAAGGTAGAGGTTTGCTGATTTTATTGACCTTTTCAAAGAATCAGCTTTTTGTCTCATTTATTTTCTCTACTTTTTTATTTCATTGATTTCTGTTCTTATCTTGATTATTTCCTTCCTTCTGCTTGTGTTAAATTTGGTATTTTAAAGATTTTTTATGGGTGACCCCTGTGGCTCAGTGGGACACTGGTCCTATATATAGAGGTGGCATGTTCAAACCCAGCCCTGGCCAAACTGTAACAAAAAATAGCTGGGTGTTGTGGTGGATGCCTGTACTCCCAGCTACTCCAGAGGTTGAGGCAAGAGAATCACCTAAGCCCAGGAGTTTGGAGGTTGCTGTGAGCTGTGACACCACAGCACTCTACCCAGGGCAACCTAGTGAAAAAAAAAAAAAAAAACAGCTTTCCAGAACTAGCTTCTACACATTTTGATTTGCTAGATCTGGTGTGGACCCAGTGAATCTTTTCATCTTCCTTCAAGTGTACATAATATTTTTCCTCAGAAAAGCTAAGCTTAACTGAATAAAATCATCCTTTGTTAAAGCTTTTTATGTGAAAATAATTTTAAATGTACAAGTCTAGCTGGAGAAGGATAATGAGCCTTATATTCAGCAACCAGTTCCAAGAGTCATCAAGTTGTGGCCAGTTTTGCTTCATCTATACCTCCAACCACTCCCTTCATTTCAGTGTTTCTTCAAAGCAACTCCCAGGTATAACATAACTTCAGCATGCATCTTGAAACAGTAAGGACTCTTAGGAAAAGACCACTACAACAACTAAACATTATCAAAAATTCTTTACTATCACCAAATACCTAGCCAGTGGTCTATGAGGGCTCTCCATCAAAAACACTTTCCTTGGCCGACTGTGATCACAGCCAGGCTTTGGCACCACTGGCAGGGGTGATGGCACTAGGACAGCTACATAATTGGGCCTCGCTATTTTTAAATCCTTTACCTCCCATTATCTAAATGGATGTGGAGAAGGCTGGCAGGACTGAGGTAAACAGTGACAAGCTCATTTCTGGAAGCACTGGAACTAATGGGCCAGAATGGCACAGGGCAAGGCAGATCTCCCCACCAGCCTCCCACTAGGAAATGCATGGTCCATTAACACGGAAGAGGTTCATGAAGAGGTGATTTCTAAGACTGTGAGTGAAGCCAAGCAAGTAGAAAGGGCCATACCCAAGGCCACCCTCAGCGAGGCCATAGCTACTCCTGTGTCTCAAGGGCCGAAGGGAGCCTAGAGAACAAGAGGGGCTGCCAGGCCGGAGCCTGGACTTCAGCAGGAGACACAGCCATTGCCCACTTGTGGCCATGCAGGGAGGGTACTGGGGAAAACAGGCCCTGACCTTGCTCCTCCTTCACCTTCTGGTCTCCTGCCAGGTCCTCCCATCCAGAAGCCAGAAGACAAGGGAGCCTGTGAGTGCCTCCTGGGGCACAGAGCAGCGTGGGCAGGGTGAAGCATGGGCCCCAAAGGGAAATTGGATTCTGCGCAGCCAGCCTCTCATTGCTAAAGGGGTCTGTGAAAATAGGGCAGGTGTCTTAGCTTGGGCTAACCCACAAAACACCCAGATGGGGTGGTTTATGAAAGGGTATGAAATTTGTATGTAGCAGAGAAAGATTTTCACACAAAGACTGGGACAAAGGGTAGAGAACAGTGTGTTAACTTGAGAGAAACAGAGGCACAGCACTGAGAAGGTGCAGGGTAGTGCTGGGCAGCTGAGGAAAGGCTGCTTTAAGTTTTTAAAGGGTAAAGTGACTTTTTTTCTCTGCTTCAGACTGACAGCAGAAGCAGCTGCAGGCTTCTGTGTTTGGTTCTCCAGTTTTTTCCTTATTCTGTTAGGCCTGGTTGTCAGAGGTCATGAATCTGGTTTTTGGATGAAACCTAGCCAGAGAGGCAGATCTCCCCACCAGCCTCCCACCAGGAAATGCATGGTCCATTAACGAGGAGGAGGAGTGGGGAGCTCTTCAATCTTAAGAGATAACAAGTTAGGCCACAGGTGTTTAATGTAAAGATAGGGCAGTTGTGCTTTGAGTTTGTCTCTTACTTTCTGACAGATACTCATTTCTCTCTGTCAGGTTATTAGTAAGGCCATCTTTCTGGAGCTTTGGAGGTCTATGATCATGGAGCCAGCAGGGTAGGATTCTGATGAGGGTCTCTTTCTAGCTTGCAGATGGAGCCTTCTCACCACGTCCTCACAGGCCTTTCCTAGGTGCATGCATAGGGGGATGGTAATCTGTCTCTTCCTCTCCTTACAAGGCCAACAGTGCTACCATGTGTGCACCCTCTCGTGACATCCCCCGTCACCCCTCAAAACTTCACTTCCAAAGAGCATCACCTGGGGTTGGGACTTTGCCTTATGAACTCTGAGGGGCCAAATACTCTGTCCCTAATGGAGGGCACTCACTGGCTCACCCCCAGCCCCACCCGCCAGCCCCTGCAGGGGAAGCACATGTGTTTCACTGTCCCTTTTGCACATTCAGGACAGCATGCCAGCATGCAGCACCTGACTTCTGGGGCCCCCACGTGCCGTCATGGATGGACAAAGGCTGTCACATCCTGCTTTGCCGGCCCATGTGGGGAGAAAACGTGAAGGCCACAGTGAACTGCTCTGGGCTTCACCAGAGGAAGCAGGTTAGGGGGAAGAGTTGAGCCCCAAGGTAGTGAGGGTGGTTCAGATCCAGGGCTTTACCAAGACAGGCTGGTGTCCCCAGCACCCGCTGCTCCTTGTGAGGTGACTGACTCCTCTCCCCTCATTTTAACTGAGTCTCATGCAGGATCCTCTCCAGCAGGTCGTCAGGTGACCAGGCAGAAGGCTCTGTCTAGATCAGTGGTTCTCAAACTTCCTAATGCTGTGGCCCTTTAATATAGTTCCTGTGGGTTGCGACCCACAGGTTGAGAACCGCTGGTCTAGATGCCTAGTGCCAGCTGGTCCTAAGGTGTCCAGGGAGAGCTCTGTCCAGCTGCCCATGCCTGTCTTCACCCTCTCCCGTACTTGAGTCCACTTCCTCGCACAGCACAATCTCCACTGCATTGAGCACAGAGACTTTGAGCCTGCTGCAAACCCTCCCAGCACAGACAGGAAGGGTCTCAGAGGAAGTGTTTCTCCACCATCCTGGGGGCTTGTCCAAACTCCCACCAGCTTTCACAGTGAGTTCCTTGGTCCTGATGCTGTCTCTGAAAGAGGTGATGTAGCTGCACATGGGTCACCATGAGGATTTCTTCCAACTCATGGAAGAGGGCTGAGCTTCTAGTCATTGTAGAAACAGCCCTGAGTGGAGACCATGGAAGGTCCTGGAAAGGGTGTGGGCCTGAGGATAAAGTTGGTGGATGACCTTTGCCCTAAAAGCAGCTACTGTCCCTGCCATCTCCAGATGTCACTCCATCCAGTTCAGTTGGGTAAACTTGCTGTTGGTGACAATGCCAGCAGTAGAAGGGGCAGAGAGTATGTTCTTTTCCTGCCCAGGAGCTGCCAGACAAAAATGAAGCAATCCCAGGATGAGGCCCTGCAGACTGAGCAAATGCAGCCCTGCCCACCCCCAAGGTGGGTCAGAGTCCTCCTACAGTTTCTCCTTGCTGTGGCCAATCCTCCACTTTGTAGCTTTGGGCAAGAAACTCCCCATTCTGTCTTAAATAGCCACCAGGTGAGTAGGCCAAACAGCCTCTGGCTTGGGCAGAAGAGGGTCATGATGTGACCCATTGACAGAGTCATTAAAATCACCTGGCTTCATATCCACAGCAGCACCGAGATGCAGGAAATCATAGATAAACACCTGCTCTCCTTATTGTCCTCGTTACCATTAACAGGGGCCTATAAGGGGCAGAACGCTCCCCAGAGTGCAGTGGGTGGTTCTGGGGAAGAGCAGGAGCTTAGTCCTGACCACCTGCTGGTCCCTTCCCAGGATGTGCAGCCACAGCCCTGCCCCCTGTAGGGCACATGCTGAGGGAGCTGTGGGGGCCGCCACCCCCTCAGCCCTTATTTTCAGGTACGGATTGTCCCAGGGCAGTGATCCTTGATATGTGGTCCCAGATACCCTTTTAGGGGAGAAGCCAAAATTATCTTCAGAGAATACTGGGACATCACCTGTGTTTCTCACACTCCTCAGCTCCTGAGGGAAGAATGGAGATTTAAAGAGACACCTTGACATTGGATGGAGCACAAGCTCTTGAATTTCCAGCTCACTCCTATAAAGCCAGGCGTCAAAGAGGTTTGCAAAAATGTGACATCATCGTGCTCTTCTCACTAACATCCCTTTGTAAAGAAAATAGAGAGATGGTATTTGTCTCAAAGCACGTTTACTCTGTTAACATAGACTAAGTGTACTATTGTCCTTTGAAAGCAGTTATGTTTCTTTTTTCTTTTTTTTTAAACCAGGGCCATGCTCTATGTCCTTGGCTAGAGTGCACTGATGTCATCATAGCTCACTGCAACCTCTAACGCCTGGACTCAAGTGATCCGCCTGCCTCAGCCTCCCAGGTAACTGAGACCACAGGCGCTCAGCACCATGCCTGGCTAATTTTTCTATTTTTAGGGGTCTCACTTAAGCTGCTCTCAAACTCCTGAGCTCAAGAGATCCTCCCACCTTGGCCTCCCAGAGTGCTGGGATTACAGGTGTGACCTACCCCACCCCACCCCTTGCCCAAAGCAGTTGCATTTCTAACGCAATGTCTGAGTTACAATTACTAACACAGTAAATACAGAGAGATCTTACACCCATCAACAAAATTCTTTGGGTTCCTCAATTCACGTTAGGACTGGACCTCAGGTCTATTCTCAGCCCCTGAGCTCTCTGGTGCCCTTCACCCCTTCATTCCTGGTGATAATGGGAAGAAGGAAGCTGAGGAGAAATTTTGAGGTAAATAACCCAGAGTGAACCTTCATTGTTTCACTCACCTGCTTTTTTTCTGGTGTATGCATCATCCTTACCTGTTTCTTTCCAAGTCTCATACTTCTTACTTGAAAACTGGATATAGTAACTCTGGACACTGGTGCTGAAACTGCCCATATTAAAATAGTGTAAAAACATAAGGTATATATAGTAATCAAATCTGATTTTTATAAAAGAACAGATAGAGCCTGAAGTTAACTAGACACTCTCCTCCTTGATAGGTACAAAATTTGTGACTTCCCCAACTGCTTCTATAGAAAACATCGCTATAGTAAAGCCTAAGACGAGTCTTTGAGATATTTTTCAGACTCTGCATTTGGTGGTGGGGGATACTGACATCAACTGGACCTGTAGATAGGTGTGGGAATGGCTCCAAAAAGCTTTTGAGACCCCCTACCCAGGAAATCTCCCAACTAAGAAAATAATGAGTTCATCCCCAGCTGATCAGCAGACCTGATTTCCTTGTCCCTTTTTCTACAAACTGCTTTGAAAAACCTAGCCTCCAAATTCTCCAGAGGTAGATTTGAGAAATCACTCTCATCTCCTCGCCTGGCGCCTTGGGAAATAAACCTCTCTTCGTTGCCACACCTGCTGACTCAGAATATTGGCCTTTACCTGACAGTGGCCAAAGGGCCAGCCAGGTAAACCGGGCTCACCATTTTGGGGCACGTGGTTTGACACGTGGCTGGGTGTACTTAGGGGTGTCCTTAGGGGTTCCCTTGTCCTTTCTGAAAAACAGGTCACCTCTGAGACCACGTCTGTCGACAGGATGATTTCGACCCGGGGCTCTTTTTTTTTTTTTTTTAGACAGAGCCTCAAGATGTCACCCTGGGTAGAGTGCCATGGCATCACAACTCACAGCAACCTCCAACTGCTGGGCTCAAGCAAGTCTCCTGCCTCCGCCTCCCAAGTAGCTGGGACTACAGGCGCCCACCACAACGCCTAGTATTTTTTGGTTGCAGCTGTCATTGTTATTTGGCAGCCCGGGCTGGATTCGAATCCGCCAGCTCAGGTGTATGTGGCTGGCGCCGAGCCTCGCCCCAGGGCTCTTAGAGACTCGGCTTGCAGCGGAGAAGCGGTCCTGGTACTGGGCATCCGGTGTGCGTCCGACACCTGTCTCCCATCCTCCTCCCGGTTTGGGGCCCTCTGGGGGTCCTGGCTAACTGTCCTCTTCAAGAAGAGATTGAAGTCTTGCCTCCCATTTGGACAGAGACTAGGGGTCCCGTCTGGAAGGTACGCTAGAGAATTTGGGGTCGGAGCAGGGCTTTGGAAGCCGCAATCATTACCTGCGTCTGCCCGGTCATGGTCTACGTACGTACGAACGCACTGAGCATTCGCTGGACTGTGGCGCCCTCTGGCGTCCCGGCGCCTCGCCCGCCCGCGCGAAGGGGAAGTGCCGGGTGCGTCGCAGTCTTTGAAATCCTTCCCCTGGGCGCCGCAGTGCCCAGACGCTTTCTGTTCCCCGGCGAGGCACAGCCACTTCCTAACTTGTTTTGCTTTACGCCCTCTGGCCCTTTGGGCTTCTTCCCAGGTAGAGGGGATTAAATGTTTGATTTGGGTCCGTTCTTGAGAATGGGCATCTCTACAAATCACCAGAGACTCCTCGGTAGCTGGGGCCAAGGGGGACCAGGCATCGCCACCCCGGAGGGATCCCGCCAGCCGCCTCCTTAAGAATTGGGAATTTTTGCCTGCCCCTGCCGACTCGGAAACATTTTCCGTTGTGACACTGTTTGATTAGTAAATGGATCCCTTAACTAATACAGTCCTGCGGTTAGATTTATTCTGTACAAGGGAAGAAAAATGAGATCCTGATGTGTAGTGTTTTATGCTACTTCGGTGAAATAAACCAAACAAAAGGGGTATAAGATTATGACCCAAAAGACAAGTGATGAGGAAAAAAATCTGTGGTTTTTTTCAAAAATCATTACGAGATGATTCTGATTGCATGGTTACATGAGGCACCATTTAACTCTCCCTCTTTCTCGTTATAGGAAGCTGAAGCTGCTCACCCTGAACCAGGGTCCCCACCTCCACCGGGCTGTTCTACTGAGTAGCCTCACAATTCTGTTTTACCTCAGTTGCAATTTTAATAACTTCTATAATGAAATACAAGGAAGCTAACTTAGAAAGCTTTAACTTTATCTGATAGGAAGTAAAGTCAACGTAGTCTCCATTTTAACAATGTAAAATGTTTAAATAACAGAAAAGTGATTTTACCTAAAATATCTAAGATAATTATCAGGGAAAATATTGTGGGGGAAGGGTATGTAAAGAAGAATGTGATCTCAGCAGACCACACTTGCTATTTTGCTTCAGCTTAACTTTTCAGACTCCATCCTGTAGTCTGCTTTTCTGACTTCCCTAGGATGACCCAAGAAAAACAGAAAGCTTGTTTTCCTCAGTATTTGCAACCCACAACCCTACTTGGGCAGATGCTCAGAATCTGCTTATTACCTTACTGATCTCAGAGGAATAAAGAATGGTCCTAGATAAGGCCAGGCAGAAAGCAACCTGCATGCACACCAACTCTCCTGGCAACCCTGTAAGGGTACCAGCTCAAATGTAACCACCTCACACCTGGAATAGAATATTAACAATGGAGATAGGAGGCTGGGTGCGGTGGTTCACGCCTGTAGTCCTAGCATTCTGCAAGGCCAAAGTGGGTGGATTGCCTGAGTTCAGGAGTTTGAGACTAGCCTGAGCCAGAGTGAGACCCCATCTCAAAAACTAGCCAAGCATTATGGTGGGAGTTTGTAGTCCCAGCTACTTGGGAGGCTGAGGCAAGAGGATCACTTGAGTCCAAGAGTTTGAGGTTGCTGTGAGCTGTGATGCAATGGCACTCTACCCAGGGTGACATAGTGAGACTCTGTCTCAAAAACAAAACGACAAGGCTTGGCACCTATAGCTCAGGGGTTAGGGCGCCAGCCACATACATCAGAGCTGGTGGGTTTGAACCTGGCCCTGGCCTGCTACACAACAATGGCAACTACAAGGAAAAAATAGCCAGATGTTGTGGCAGGTGCCTACAGTCTCAGCTACTTGGGAGGCTGAAGCAAGAGAATCATTTAAGCCCAAGAGTTTGAGGTTGTTGTGAGCTGTGATGCCACTGCACTCTACTGAGGGCAACATAGTGAGACTCTGTCTCAAAAATAAAAAAACAAAACAATGGAGACAGACCTAAGCTTGAACATTACAGAGACTGCATCTTGGCTGGCCTTCACAAGAAAGTGCCTAACAGCTAAGTCTTAATAAAGTGCAAGAAATTAGAGACCTAATATGGGCCCCTTGGAATTCATACAGAGGATTTTTGAGACATAGAGAAAAAACACGGACATTGATCTGGAAATGCCATCAAATCCTAAAATGGTAAATATGACTTTCACCAGTCAACGTACTCCTGACATCTGGAGAAAATTACAAAAACATGGATGGGGCTTTGGCCATACCTATATCTCAATTAGTAGAAATGCTTTTAAGGTGCTCACTGATTATAATGAGGTGATAGAAAAGAGAGAATAATGGAAAATGGAACAGAAGACTGACCTTCTGGGTGCTACTTTGAGTTAAGGAATTCTAGTACCAAGACATGGCCCGCTCTCACGTGCTCTGTCCAAGGTAGGACCTTCCTGGCCTCAGAACCCCAAGAAAAAGGGACATCCAACTGTGTGCTTCAGTGTGCCTATTGCAAATGAGGAGATTGCCTGTGCTAGTGCTGGGAAGGATCCCCTCCTCAGTCACCAGATGTCTGAGCTAGCTGGGAGGCTGGAAGATAGAATTGTTGAGGACGGACACCAGGAATGACAGGGCCCACAGGTTACTCCCAACCCAGACAGTGCTCTCCCTATTTCCTACGTGGAACCCCAGGTCATGATGACAATGGGAAATCAACTTTTGGGCTTTCTGATCGATAGTAGCACCACTTACTCAGTGATAAACACCTGGCTGTCTAAACTGTCTGCGAAGAGGATAAAAGTGACTGGAGTCTCAGAGAAACCCTGACAAAGCCAACCTTTGGAGTGCCAATTAGGCCAAACCCTCTTAAAACATAATTTCCTGTATATGCCTGAGTGCCCCGTTCCTTTGCTGGGACATGGTCTGTTGACCAAACTGAATGCCAAAGTTAGCTCCAGCCCAGGATAACTGAATATCAGTGCCTCCAGAACAGGCCTGTGCCCTGCAGGCTTTGCTGTGGCAACCAGAAACTTCTGAATCTGGTGCCTTTCATGAAGAGATGAGGAGTGTAGAGGTGTGTATGGGGGTGGGGAGAGACCAGGAAGGGCTAGGACCGCCAGTCCAGAGCAAGTCAAGGTTGGGGCAGGAACAGCACCCCCACATTTAAAGCAATACCGCTTTAGGAAACAGGCACAGTGGAATCCAGCCTCAGTCATCTGATTTCCTCCAATTTGGACTTGTCAATCCCTGTATAACACACCCAGCCTGCTGATCCAGAAGGAATATAGATTTGTTCAGGACCTGAGACCTTGAGAGTTAATCAAATTATAGAAGACATTCACCCACTAGTCCCCAGTCCTTATTTGCTACTTATGACTCTAACTGGTGAACTTTGCTGGTCCACAGTTTTAAATTTGAAAGATACTTTCTTCTGCTTTCCTCTGAGCCCAGAGTCACACAAAGTGTTTTCTTCTGAAGGGGAAGACACAGATACAAAGCAAATCAGTGATGCTGTCGGAGAGTTGTCAGGGTGGGGACTCACATGGCGGTTGGGGAAGAGCTCTCCCTAGAGATTAAAATACAGGAAGTCCCCAAGTTACAAGCATCCAATTTATGTACAACTCACACTTATGAATGGAGGTTATTACAGGTAATAGGTAAATTTACCTGTTCCAACTTATATACAAATTCGACTTAAGAAGAAACCTACAGAACCTATTTGATTCATAACCCAGGAACTGCCTATAGTTTTAAAGAAAAAGTTTATTTTACCTCCCAAAGGTGGGAAGGGTATGACATGAAAGAAAGATGGGAGAAATGTTGGCCTGGAGGATGGGAGGTTTGCGGTACTCATTGGGACAAAGGGAAAGAAAAAGTCCCTCCTGCCAACTCATAGCAAAAATGGCCATGAAGCTGCTGCATCCGCTTATTTATTTATTTTTTCTTTTCTCTGTGAGGCTGCTTATCTGAGTCCTTGAAATGTGGTCTGTCAGGGCTCAGCACCCCCATGTTCAGTGATGAGGGCACGGACCACATTCACTGGGGCTGGCGGGTTTGAACCTGGCCCAGGCATGCTAAATTATAATGACAACTACAACCAAAAAAAAAAAAATACCCGGGCATTGTGGTGGGCACCTGTAGTCCAAGCTACTTGGGAGGCTGAGGCAAGAGAATTGCTTAAGCCCAAGAGTTTGAGGTTGCTGTGAGCTGTGACTCTATGACACTCTACCGAGAGTGACAAAATAACACTCTGTCTCAAAAAAAAGAAAAGAAAACAAAAGAGGTCTGGCAGGAACTGAAGTGATGAGTTTACACCCCTACTGTCCACTTAGAGCTCTTTAAGACCCTGAAAACAAAATCTTAGCAAAAGTAAGTTAGGCAACTGATAAACAAAAGGGCAGTTGTGTTGTAAGTTTTCTCTTCAAAGGGGCAATTGTGTGCTGTGAGTTTATTCCTCTTTCTTTCTGTTAGTTTATTTTTCTCTGTTAACTAGTTTATTAGCAAGCCAGTCCTTTCATCTCTCCTCTTTTTTTTTTTTTTTTTTTTTTGGTTAAAACTAAGCTTCTCATTAAATGAACTAGGAAACCAGGAGCATGGGTGAAGTTTCCTTCTTCTGTAGCTTCTTTCTGCTGACTTAGAGAGGTAGAGATGTCCCTATGGAGAGTCCCGTTGAGGGTCTTGAAGAGGGAGAGTTTGAAAACGAACCATCTTAAAACCAAGAATAGGCTCGGTGCCTATGGCTCAAGTGGCTGAGGCACCAGCCACATACACCTAAGGTAGCGGGTTCGAATCCAGCCCAGGCCTGTCAAAACAACCATGACGGCTGCAACCAAAAAATAGCTGGGCATTGTGGAGGGCGCCTGTGGTCCCAGCTACTTGGGAGGCTGAGGCAGGAGACTCGCTTGAGCCCAGGAGTTAGAGGTTGCTGTGAGCTGTGATGCTACAGCATTCTACCCAGGAGGACAGCTTGAGGCTTTGTCTCAAAAAAATAAAAAATAAAAAAACAAGAATAGATGCAGAATGGGGGTTTTGTTAGAGACAAACAGCTAGCACGGTCTTTTACCTCTTTTTCTTTTTAGTTTTAAACAAATTTTTAGTGTCCATACTGTTGCTGGAACTAGCTGCTCTGAGTAACCTTGAATTAGTAATATCATAGACATGGGGTTT